TGCGCCGTCAGTATTTAATTAAACAAAAAAAAAGTATGTCTACTCTTTAATAATTGGTATTAGGGGGTCAGAGCCGAACCCACGGCTTTAAGGTACGATTAATGATACTGATTAGATGGACTAAAGAAAAAAATTAAAATCAAAGTTCCAACAGAATATATCTTCAGGCTTTCTTGATGCAGATACGTTATGCGTCGAGTTTCTTGCGAACACTTTACATGGGGATGTAAATAGGTCTGACAAATACAATGTGCATTGCCTACACTTAGGCTACCGTTTCATCGAGTGCAAATTCGGCCTTAAATGCCACTAATTCCAACTTGTATTTATCGACGTATGATATAATAAATATTTTTATATTTACCTCGGTTCAAATTGCACAGAAGACAAAGAGTAATTGAAAATTCAAAGGCTGAATTAATAAGTAAAAAAAATCGGGTGTGAAAAGGTTAAATTGTCGAAATTATAAAATCAAAAGGTTACACCATTCACACATAGTAAATTTAAAATATACATTTTTCAATGACACAGCTCATATTATGGGGAAATGGGGATTCAATTTACAAGATGTAAACTGGGGATTTGGAGCAAGTAAGAGAAAGAGAGTGATATCATTCGATTTATAATTTCAATTCTTCAATTGCTTACTTCAGGTAAACTTACAAAAACCAGTAACTGTTCTTCCAATCATATCCTGAGTATGCTCTTGCATACAATACTGTTACTCATGGGTATTTTTCGTTTGTTTTTGCAAATAAATTAAGTAGATCCACTCAAATGATAAAGACTTCAGTTGACATCCAAAATCCAAAATTGGAATAATAATATGCATTTCTGGCAGAATTTGTAGAATAATAGGCTATCTGATTTTGGACTAGGTATTATAAAGTACAATGAGAAATTGTATATGGGTTATTCTCCAAAAAGTATGAACGAATATACCATTAATAAACATTGAAGAATTAATGGAGCATTACAGATACATAGGCTACTAAACTTCTTATTCTTATTCAAGATGACAACCTGCTGAGAGTCGTCCGATATCCATAAACAAGATTCATATTTAGACAGAGGATTTTATAACCGGTAGATAACTCATCTATTTTATCTCTCACCAGGGGGCGACACTTATCTTACTCTTTGAATGACGGAAATTAATTTTCCGTGACATTCCAGTAAAATGAGATATAGGTGGAGTGAAATTTGTTTAAGTAGCCTCTCCTTAATTTAATAGAAACAATGACTAGTGTGTCCAGCTGGATTAGGGTCACCGATGAAAAGCCTAAAAAGAAATCAATATTACAAAAACTTAAATATCCATGAGGGACAAAAAAGTAACAAAAATCTAAAGGTGCTAAATGCACGAAATACAATTTGCTGAAGTCAGTCATAAGAGACCTGATGAGGATAGGAGCCAATAGGTCAGATAAATGATGACATGCAAGACCAAATGTTTTTAAGGCTAGATATGTCATTTGAGACCAAATGAGTTTTAGAAAAACGAGTCAAGTGAGAGTCATGCAGGACCAGATCAGCAGAGGCAGGTTTACGTCCGAGAGGGGGTGAGATATCTGAGATTGCCCGAATCTTTAACCTAGTTATGAGATTTTTGCCCGAAAAAATCGCTTTCGGGGCTGCCCCCACTGCCCCGTCTTTGGCTCCACCACTGCAGATCAGCCATGTAAAAATTCTAATGGCTCGGTGCTGATAGAATTATTGTCATCTAAATGACTTCGCTTCTTCTTTGCTGACATGTTCTATATTCAATTGTTTTATGCTGACAGATCATGTGTGATAATCTATCTATTTTTAACCCAGTTTCACTAGTACACTAGGGTAGAATGAACAAATCATTTTTCATTAAAATTTGTATTTTTATTAATTATTCAATAACATGCCGCCATACACAAAAACTACATAAAATCTTATAACTGTACAATTACTGTCATATTTGTTGTCTATGTTTAATCAGATGTTTCGTCATAATGCTTTTATTCAGTTTTACATTTACTACTTTTAAACAGCTGGGATATAAGATACAGCTTCTGATTGGTTAATATAACTAATTTCAAACATTGACCAATCAGATGTCGTTATCACTACACTCATCTTTAGTGAGGTTTTTAAGATCCAAGATCGATCCAAATTTAATAAGTGTAAAACTGAAACCAAATTTTTTACTTAGCATTCTGAGTGTATTCAAGCACAATAAAAGCCTATATTGATACATTTCAATTAAAAAGCCAAAATGAAACTAGTCAAATAGTTATATTTAGATATCTTTCATCACTACAAGATAAATACAACATTATTATTGATAGGTACTTCTGAATAAAATATAAATATCTAGAAGTAATTATCCATAATAATAGTTTGATCTCTTCATAGATTTCTTAAACATTTTTAACAGATTTTTATCTGTAGCAAGACACCAAAAATTGACAAATATCTCAATAACCTTAGCAAGTCTTAAGCCGTTTTTATCAAACACAGAACTCAGAATCTATTTTGATACATTATCCAATCAAATGAAACTTGACTTTAATTGTCTATCATATTGGATTGACTGTTCAAATATCAAAGGGATGGTTGTCTAACTATTTTCTTTACCAGCTAGATAAAAAGATAAATAGAAATCTGATGAATTGTAGACAAACCATATGTCAAATTTTCATTCTAATTAGTGATACAGATATCTGAAATCAAGTTCTATCTGCTGGCAAGGTCAATAATCTAAGTACTATAGTCCTTCAATTGATAAAAACGCTTTAACTAATGATTATCAAGACGTGAATAATATAGTGTCTATGATATGATGATGAAGTTTACAAGTAGAAATGGAGTAATGAATTTAATGACAGGAGAATGGAAGTCTTTGGTTCCAACTGAATATAAAATAAGGCAGATAAACAATGCTTTGAAATAAAATAGCATCAACTGGGTATTACAATTACATTGAATTTTACAAAATAAATAACTTTTAAATTCTAGTGTTCTGCACTAGTTTGCATGTAAGATTGACAATGCTGAACAGCTTGCAATGAGAGAAATGTACATGACAGTTACACCAATCTCCCAAATTTGTCAAAGTGAAATTTCAGAAAAACCTTTCGTGCACAATTCTTGATAAATTTGTCCAGATTGCAGATATACTGGAGGGTAAGATAGGGTGTGCATTATATAAGCCTGCACACTGTACTCACAATTATACGGTAACTAAGCATTCAGAAAAAACAGAAAACATAAATAATGAATAACTTTATATCAGAAATACAATTAAAAATATCATTTGGTGAGAGTTTTAAAACTTGCACAATAAACAAAAGACAAACATCTGATGGATGGCAAAAACAACAAAATACAAACAAATGGTGACATGTAGATTTAAATATCCATTCATACATACCACAATAATCTAAAATATTTACAAATATTATTTACACAATTTGATTTGAGGTGAAACAGTGTTTTTATCCCAACTAATATTATCATCATAACTATAGGTAGGCTAGGATAATATGTCAATAGAGGTATCTCTTTATAATATTACCTTGTTATAAAACATCAGTTCAAAAGATATAGATATATGTCCCTCATATGAAATTTATATCTGGGTTTGTAAGATAAAATATTAAACTTGGTTTATAAGATATTGTCGTCCTCATTTCAGTATAATTTTGTGAGATATAAACCAATATCTTCATATAGATCTAGGTTTGTAGGATACAATTGATAAGATATATTTCAGTTGTATTAAATACTCATTATAAATTGTAAGTTTAAAGTCAGTCTCGATCATTTCAGACCTTTGTCTGCTGTATAGAAATGTTTGCTTGTATTTTGTATTAAAATGAAGATATTCTGTGGCATGAATTGAGATCCAGTAGAGAAAAGATGACAATTTTAAAGGGAGATCATTGTAATTTATATTTGAGACAAAAGGTGAGATGTTATAATAAGAAATGTACGGTGTATCTAGTAAATAATGAAAGTATTCAAGTAAAGTGTTTGGAATATATCTGAGGTCTCAGGTCAGAGTCAATACATTATTCAATCTGACTGATTAAATCTTATTTATATATGAGAATCATAGGTGGTCAAAAATTTCAGTCATTTTTTTTACAACTTAACTTCTTATATACCTAATAATATTGTCTCTGTGATGGTGTTTATTATTATTATTATTATGTTATATATCATCAAAGTGGTTATAACCGTATATCATCATCTATATAGAATCTATCATTAATATAGATTGGATTATCAAGTTCTTTTTTTTTTACTATATAAATTAATGAATAATGGAAAATGCAACCTGGATAATCTCAACTCCAACACCACAATAATTTAAAATATAACATAAAACTTGAGCTCTGCGCTTTCTGCATTGCTGATACAATTTGAGCTCCAAGCAAACACGCTTAATGCAGTCACAATAATTCTCAAGTGAAAGTGTCGAAGCTGTCTCAAGCTATATCTTTGTAATAACTTATCTTGTAAAAACTTATCTTTATAGACTATAGATTAATAATGCAATAATATATTTGATGTTATGTTATAATTGATACACATATTAATGTAATATATCATATATTAATGCTAGTTCTGATATTTTGAAATCATCTAAAACCCTACAAGCAACTTGCTTAATCAACACTTTCCTTCGGTCCTTTCAATAACCTAGTAACACTAACAGTTAAAATGTAACATTCATTGAGACCGAGGTCAAAGGTTAAAGCACAAATTCAAATTTCTTCAAGACTCCATACAACAAAACGGATACACTTTGCACTACTCCAATTAAAGCTATAGTGCACACTTCCACACCAATATGTATATTGTTAACGGTTACACAATTAAAATAAGTGTCTACATTGACATGAAAACATGTGACTATATAGTATAATATTAGTCTGATACTGGTATATATCATACCAACTATCTTCATTATACTCTAGTCACAGCACTGTTTGATAATATCAAGATAAGATAACTCTACTTCACGTATCACTGAAGTTAGGTGAGGCCAGGCTCCGTGCTCCATCTTTCTGCGATTGATTACGTTTAATATAGAGATTCAATAACTTCATCTGCAAATAAAAATATTGTTTTTTAAAATGATTATACAGGTCTCTATGTAAAAACCAATTTTCAAGATTTTCTTCTAATTTTGGATAACTATTGAAGCTCTGGGAATAATCATAAAAAAAATAATTACATACACTAAAGCATGTTAAAACTCTAGGATGTATTTGCAGTTCATATAATCTTGTAATATTTTTTTGCAAACATATTTTCTTGAAGAAGTAGAATTCATATGAAAACAACTTTCTTACCTTACTACTGGAGAGTGAGAGTAAATGAGGGCGTATATCTTCCCCTACATTATAATAACAAGCTACCAAGGCAAATATAGCGGCTTTACGTACATGACTATCATTATCTTCACATGCCTGGATAAAAGAGTTTTAAATATGTTAATATAAATATAATTATCATAAAATGCTGTTAACATGTTAGGAACCATAAAATTATTTGCTGACTACAGTTAAAATGCTTGGAATATAAAGCCAGCCTAATGCTCTTACGTTACACCCAGTAACACTCAGTGAATGGGCATATCAACTCAACGTCTCATTAACAGAGTCAATGTCCAAATTACTGTTGGTATATTCATCAATATATAAAATAAACTTCCAGGAGACAAAAATAATCATGTCAGGGTAATAAAATGATTTACAGTGTATTTACCTTCAATAAACCTGGTGTTACACATTCTAAATTCTTTAATAATACACCTTTATCAATATGTTCCATCACCTACAACATAAAATCAGTATGTTCTTGTATTAATTCATATCAATTCAGCATATATGATACTTGTTAATATAATCTACAATTACATACACTGATGGGACATTTGTTCACATGAGACAGCTTATCATTCAATTGAGTCTTATTTCTTTTTATAATTGTTCAGAATTTAACCTTTTCGTATTCTTGAGTCAATTCTTTATGAAAATTCTTGTTAAAACTGAATTCAGCCCCAAATGAAAATTGTACAAACCTTTGCTTGCATTTTGATTGCGGCCATATTTACAGGACATTTGGCTGATTCTATGATAGATTTTAATATCTTCAGGGTTTGTTCTGTTGGCATGAATTTAGCCATTGTTAAAGCACATTCTTCAGCTGCCTTGAAAACCTGAAAGAAGAAAAATATAAAACCTCAAGTTTCATAAAACAATATCAACGATAAAGATTTAACAGATTCAAGTAATCTGCTTAGTTGAGGGACAGACCAAATTATCTGAGGGTAGAAATTAATGAAATTGGCTTCAAAGTTTCCTCATTCATGCAGTGTCCAATCAATAAAATCATGACATTAATAGTCTTCTACACGCTATTTTAAACCCTCATAAAAACAATTTAATCATACCAACTGCACTAAGGTCTAAAATGTAAGAAAATATTCCTACCTCCTTAGCACTGTCTTTCTGTGCCTCTAAGATACGGAATATAGTTAATTCAGCATATTCACTAAATCTACCAGACTCTTTCTTTAATATTTCTTGTAAAACTCGTAAAGAAAATGATCTAATCATTGCCTGTAATATACAAATAGTTTGATTAACAATACTTGATTACAAATTTAGTTTAATTCAGTGCATCAAGAACTGAGAAACAGCATTGTTAACTTTGACATTTTGTGTCCCATGTAATGTATCAGTACAAACGATACAGAATCCATAAAACTATACAGAACTTACAATTGCCGTTTATAGAGTAAATTTGCAAAGGGTTTGATAGGTGAACTGTATGTTAATATATATATATATATATATATACGGTCAATCACTGTTTGCCTTATATACAGTAAAATAATAAATTAAGTTACTTACATCATCATCACCCAGTGTTTCTAATAAAATTAATAAAATATTTTTAAAATGTTCATCCCAATGTTTAAAATCACCACGTCTAGTAAGTTGTGTCAGTGAATACATAGCATTCTTACGCTCCTCATTTCTGAAAAAAAAAACCCCAAAAACATGAAAATAAATAAAAGATATTATCATCATCATTGCCTTGATACTAAAAAAATTGATAGTTTTTTTTTGTGTGTGAAACAGGACTCAGAATTCAAATTCAAATTCATAATAGACACAATATTGGACGGGTCAGCTGATTGGATAATCTTACTTTAATGGCCGAGTGTATTCATTGGAAGAATGAGTACTATATAATTGTGAATATAACGCGCACTCCTTCTCTAAGCATGTACTATACATGCAAATATATGGTAAAAAAAACTTGATGACAGCTAGTAAACTAAATTGTAAATCAACAGCATCAGAATATCACACAACAAACCTTGTATTATGATTGGATAATTCTGTGAGTATATCTATTATTAAATCACCATGGTTATGTAACATAGCTGAAAATATAGAAACATAGATATTAATATTTAACATCTAATTAAAACCTTCTTCTTTCTTCATGTGTACAAAATACTGATGACAGAATTGAAAATGAAAATAATGTTAAACTGAGAATGACATATTAACCAATGATATCCAATATTTAAAGCCAAACAAATTTACAGCTATAAGCAAGCTAAATTTACTGTTACCATTACCTATATTTTATTATTTGCTATCACTAAATATTAACTCTAAAAGCTTCAATTAGTAAGGTGGAAAAGCCAAAGCATTAGTCAAACAAGCACACTTTGCAAATTATAAGCAAGTAACAGTTAAGGGTTATTTTTATTTAATTTCAAATTCTTTTATGTTCTAAGAAAAACAGGTAAAAGCGAAGCAAAAGATAATTAGTTTTATTCTTCATGTATCATTATTAGTTTCAGAGATTAACGAATAGATTTAAATTCTATATAAGATGAAGCTTTCATGCAAATGAGAAAACTACTTGATTTGTAAATTTGACAAGTTCTATAAACTAAACAAGTATTCTGCCAGCCATTGGCACGGGCCAAAAATCAGCATGTGACGCTTTGCTATAGTAATATAGGATGATATATGTGTATATTATGTGCTATGGAAATGAAATGGCAGGAAAGAGTGGAATTTGCTGAAAAAAATACATCAGTGAAAGGTTGAAATTGTCACATCACACAGATCAAAATTTCTAAATCTTTAGCTTCTGTATAAGGTTCAGCTAAATTTAAATGAAGTTTCAGAATTTCTTCTTTTTTTTTTAGGTCAAACACAAAACGATAACCAAAAAATATGGTATAATGTTCACATATTCACCACAACACAAAATGGTTCTCAATTTCATTCAAAAATTATTCAACAACAAAACTCAAAACAATGCGATTCTTGGCTTAGAAATTCTTTAACATTTTGACATAATTTTCCAGTATCGAAAATGTTCTAAATTTATAAAACATTATCCTTGTTCTATTGCATTTGAATAGTCACCATAAGCCTCAAGGGATCCAAATGGTACTTGTGTACATGCCAAAAAAATTTCATCTTATTCAAGATTTCAATAAAATTGAATTCAAATATTAAACTTTTTTTTAGATTTTCAGTTAAAATCATCTAGTTATGTATAAATTTCCTTTTAAACTACAGTTGAATTTCTAAGCCTATGTGAAAACGAAATGTACACAAAACGGAACAAATGATGAAGTATAGTGCTAAAAAATGACGTCATGACGCCATGAGAACATACAATTACCATCTGGTGTCAGACCTAATAACTTTTTCCACGGAGCTAAAAATACAGCGTAGCAACGTATTATTTATAACCAATTATAAAACAAAAGCTACATGGGTGATTGCTACCACAGTGACCAGAAAATATGTGTTCATAGATTGTTGTTTCTTTTTTTTTTTTTTAAATATTCATGTCATTACATAGAAGAATTCGCTAAGCAGTATATGGTCCACCCACCAAATGAGAATGTGAGACGGATTAAGACCACTCTGAGACAGGATGATAACAAAATTCCTGAAACTTCTTTAATTTTATGCCAAATGCCCACAAACATAAATGCAACCTTGTGATTTTGCTACTATGAACACATATTTTCTCAAAATAAACTAAAACCCAAATATACAAGGGGAAGTAACTGAGGTGATGGTTTAATAAATAAAGCACACAATATCTAGCACCAATAAAACAAGATACATGATGGTATGAATTATGGTTGAATATTTGAAAAAAGGTTCCCATTATTACATATTGATACAAAAACAATAATTGCCAAGATAGCTGTGTTTAAGATTATTTTGTAAAACGTGGTTTAAGAGCTCTCATCAACGAAACTAAATATTCAATGATGAAAATAAGGAAAGTTTATCTAGGTTTTTACAATATGGATGTATCTGTATGTAAATGAATATTATAAACACCTAAAGAGCTCACAAAATGACACCAATAAGGAAGGGAGTGAATCCACAATCTCCCTGGTTTTCTTTAGAAAGCTAGACCCTACCCCACACCTAATATTTATAGGGTATCACCTGACTGTGTAGCAAACCATTTATTAACCCACTGATGTCCTAGAAATACTCCTGATAAATAATGAGGCAACTTCATTTCAGTTTACTATATTTTTATCAAATCAATTTGAATACCATGGTCCTAATGTGAATGTGTTTGAATATGGAAGGAGAAATATCCAACAGTTCAAGAAGACAAGAGGGAACTGCTTCATATATTATAATTAATCAGATAGAAACTGATACAACTAGATATACTATTATAGTTAATGACTACTAGGATATTGTTAAAACTGATGATATGTATAATATGATACAATATGCAGGTGATATAAAATAACATCAAAAGTAGCTATCACAATTCCAACATCAAAATACATTGAACATGGAAAAAGTCAGAATTTATTATTGTATTTTTTTTCTCAGAATCTAGTATGATATTTATAAACAAATTAATCAAGTTAAATATAATCTTTAAAATATAACTTAGCATATTAGTTTACAAGTATACCATATATGATAAAATTTTTGAAGAAGTATTATAAACCTAGGGTATATCTGATTCTATTCATGGTTTCAAACTTATATTAACATAAAAGCAGCATACTATATGATAATATTATAATATATTAATATTAATAGAAGCATCTAGCCAGCTAGTAATATAACTAAAAGGACAATAAATCAATTATTTACTTACTCTCGTTAAACAGCTCATCAGCATCAAAAACTGTTTCAGCTTTTAATTGTCTACCATTTAATATATTCTGGAATAGACAACAACATATTAGGTTATAGTGTGTTAACTTCAGCATGTTACTCTAGAGATCTACTACAAACAAATATCAGAAGATACTTATACATTCAGCAATATCTAAATCATTACTTATAACTTGCATTTTGTTTTATAAGGAATCTTATACCTTGTGACCTTGGCCAGTGGTTTTATGAGACCATGTTCTCAAACCATTTTAATGACTGAGACAGAAGACAACAAACCTCAGTATAGTGTGTGGGGTTGTAATGAGTTCGTTTTCCATCGACACCATCGGGACTATCATTACGTAAGTCTTGTATTCCACTGTCTTGAGATGTAAATTCACGTTTCTTCTTGATGTCATCATAATGGTCTAATTTACTATTGATACTAAGGTTGTGGATGTCTGCGGTTGTTTTCTTGATAGAGTTATAAATATCTTCAGGATTTAAATTCTCTGTTTCATTATCGTCAGGATGTCCAAGACTAGACCTAAAGTAGATATATAGACAAATACGAATTAGAGATGTCAAGGTTAAGTTGCGCCATGTTTTAACAACCTTGTATATTTGTTTGGTCAGGAATCAGAAATGTGCAGATAAACTGGTCTCCATCGTATTTGAAAATAACAATTAATAAACTAGCTTTAAGAATAGGTCAAAATGTTCTGATAATATTTTGCTCAAGAGTGCAATGTAGAATATGTTAGTTTCTGTATAATTTCTAACTTATATCAAATATAAAGCCAATTATACATCATATACAAACTTAAATACATAATATATACATAATATATACATAATATATACAAGCTTATTTATATCTGATATTTCCTGTTTTTGTTTATAAAGAGTATGTAAGATTCACCTTGATGGAGGTCGACTGCGTTGTTGGTAAGTATTATGGGGGAGACTAGCAACATTTCTCTGGGATAAAACATCAGATGTTCCACCATTACTCGTATGACGGAACTGATTCTGTAATAATTTAGTGGCACCATCCTGAAAGAAACAAAGACAAAATTTGAAAAAGATTGCTAGAATGCACTTTTTAATAATTCATTTTCAATAGTATACTCTGGACCTATGATCAGAGCTGTTTGTAAAAAGACAAGCTATATGAATAGATTGGTTGGCTATGTGTAAAGTTATAGTTTATTTTACAGGTACAAAATTCTTAGAGATATTCATTGTGTTACTATAAAATGTTTGTTTCCAGTCTATGATTTTAATGGAAAGAATACAAACCTGGAATGTTTTTGGTAAACGTGATAAAATATTGGAGAATTCAGCAGAATTACAATCAAATAATGCAATAATAACTGATTGAGTCAACTGAAATATAGAATATAATACATGATTAACAATAAGCAAATACGACAGAATATTAATAACTGGGCATTTAAACAATATAAATTATAAGCTATATAAGAATGTTTTCAGTGATAGAAACATGATTGAAGGCTGTGTATTTTATGATTGAGCCTAGCCTCGTATCCTTTTCCTTACTAAAAAGACAAGCCAAGAAGACTCTAAGAAGTTAACAGGCAACAAGAGACAAATAATGAAAGGATTCTCTTGCCCAATATAAAATACCAACCTTTCTAACTTCTATATTATGTTCTGTAGAGAAACTGATTAATTTAGACACAGCAACACGAGCTTCAGTAGAATTAACTAGAGCTGAGGAATCCATCTGATTGGCTAGTTGTAAGATATAGTTTAACATTGAGATTTTTATCTGTAAAATAAAAAGAAACAACTTTATAACCACAAAACTAAATAAGAACTGAGAAGTTCAAATAACAAAACTTTTTAATCTTAGTAGTACCTTTTATATGTAGAGTAAAGAGACTTATAACATATATGTCTATTTGAACATAGAGTCCATTGACGAATTAGATTGAAATTCCATACATTACTATCTAACAGTTGACAAGCTTTACAAAATACTAGGGGAATATGACTACACAAAACATTAGTACACAACATAAAGTAAAAAAAAAAAAAAAAAAAAAAATGGGATGAATAAAAAAAAAATGTTAATTAAAAAATCTAATTTGGTCATAAAATAAGGCAAATAATATAAATTATGGTTAAAGCAAAATGGAATTGAACATATTGTTTCAAGATTTGAATATGTTCTGAATTGTAAATTAAATGATAATGCATGCTTATCATATTACAAATATTATATTTTGATGGTTTTTGTAATAAAATGGACAAATTTAGGCGTATTCTGATTCTATCTGATCCCTTAACCTTCTATAATGGAGAACTAGACCCATAACCATAGCGACAAAAACACCTTAATTCCAAAATATACTATTATAACAAGTTTCCCTTAACCAATAATTTCCTTTTATTAACATTCAAATATATGATATCTTGATGATGATATGAGCAAGCATTAATATTTCTATGCAGTAAGAATTCACTAATACCATCCTTCTTCCGTAACATAATATATGTATATACTATATCCTTAGATTTTCCCTTATCCATAAGATAGTCCTCAATCAAATGTTTCCTTTCCCATACAGGTACATACACCTCAATAGTTTTAAGTGCATTATCCTGAATTTGTAGATCCCTATCATAAAGATTTCCCTTTACCAAGTTCCACTAATTTCTAACTAGGTACACCTTATTTTTATTGCCCAGTTCTCTGATTCATACAAGCTAGTATTATTTCTGATTATGGTATTTATAAATTAGGATAAATAAGGAAAGAGAAATACAACATATAAAACAACATCTATAAAGCTAGGGTGATAGAGAAGAAAGGAGATAGGTGTTTGAAATAGTTTACCTTTTGCTACAAGGAAAAAAAGAAGAAAATATTTACTAAAGATTCTATTTAAGTCATGAAAGGGAGATAATTTGATATAATTCTAGTTGATACCAGTAGATATAGCCCACATTAGACATGTATTTTATTCATTTAATCAAATATATTTGGCTGTAACAAATATCGGTCAGAAAAACTGATGATATATAATGTTTATTGATTCATTTTGGTAGCAATTCAATCTCAATTTCAAAATGTAAGAGAAAAAAAAAAATGCATTATTGTTTCTTTAAAATGATTTTAATAAATCTTGTTTTATTTCATATTTTCTTTTTACATAGCCTCCAACAGACCATATCCAAATTTCATCATCTTATCAATACCCAATATGGTATAAACATTTTGTAATTATACAATCAAAGAGATTTCCATAGACTAATCTAACTACAGCCCACAGTGTTAAAATTATAGCTTATAGTGTCAATAAACCAATATATGTGCATTAATTATAAATAAAATATGAAATGTAACCAAAATGTTACCTTTTCATTATTAGGCTAGGTAAAAATAAACAAAAGTGTATTTTAATAACAAAATTTTCCAATTATTTTCAGAATTAACCGTGTTCACATGCAAGTGAAAAAAACAATTTGTGCTTGTAAACGCTTGAATTTGAAACAAAATAAAGATCATTACAATAATACTGGGTTTATAAAGATTGAATAGCATGAAATCATGACAACGGCATGGGATTGAAACAAAAAGTTGGTAGCAAGGAAGGAATAGTTGTAATTTTGTCCCAGTTTTATTATAATGAACTTTCAAACAAGAAGAATATAGTAAGGGAGGTAATAAAGAAGGGGAGGTAATTGTAGCGTCACAGCAATCAATCAACAATAGAAACCAAGCTATATACATACCTTTAATGTAGGGGACTGATTAGCAAACTGTTCAGATAAAAACTTGCACATACAGTTAAACTGATTGATATATGGAAAATTAAACCTGCAATACACATATATAGCACTTTAGTTCCTAAATTTCATCCAAAATAGAGAGAAAACTATTTTAATTTCACAGTTTCTTAAAAAACTGACCAAGTAGAATGTCAATATTGGGAAACTATTGAGTTATGCCTTTAGTTTGGAAATCTGCAATTCACATTTGAGTTGCTAAAATTCTTGAAGGTAATTTTAATTAAATTAAACTGTTCCAACTGCAAAATTCTCTGAAAAGTAAGTACAAATATGAATAGAATTTATATCACAAGTAGAAACAGAATTCAGAAGTTATATATTCAAATTAAATGTATATTTACCTAACAGCATCTAAAGCTTTCTGTAATCTAGCACTAACAGAACCTAATAGCTCAGAACCTGATTTAATAAGTAAACGAGATAACAACACATATAACCAATCATGTAGATCTCCATTATGTAAATTAATTAAATAAACTAATGTATCCATAAATATACTAAAAACCTGAAAAATACAACAGATAAATATTACAAGTTATTCCATGGTTATAGGATACATACAAAACATTATTGGCTATGTCAACTCTTCGAAAAGGTTGTATATTCAACACAGTTGCCTTGAAAAGCAACTGATGCACTGCTTTTTTTTTTACCTCTTTTAATAGGTTTTTAATTTACAGGAACAGGTGCTCTTCTTAGGAAATTATTAATTTTTATACAAGCTTTATATCTAGTACTTACTTTACTGTGTGGATCATGGAACATTCTAGTAAATATTTCTGTTACTTTCTTTAATTCTGTACGACTGAAAATAAACAATACATATAAATCATATATATCAGAACTAATAATCATTCATGTAAAACACAATTTAAACACCGTTCTTTAATTGAATTGAATCTACAGTGCTGTAATACCAAGTAGGTGATAAATGATACTGTTTGATTGACTATATTTCTGAATTCACCGCTGGTTTTCCTTAAGTTGCCAAAACAAATATAAAATTTCTCTTATATATTCTATGGTATAAAGATAGCTACCTTAAATATCTCTGAGAGCGTAAAACTAGCTGTAATGAAATTAAACCATCTTTTCTTTCAGTATAGGACCCACTGGCCATACATGCTAATATCTCCTGCATATCCTGTAATATTGAAATAAACAAATACTTAAAACAAATACAGAATATAATATCTTTATTTTAGACTCTAACAACTGCATTATCAATATTTATTTGTAATTCTTAGTTATCAATAGAAAACTCGGCAATGCATTCTGAAAGAAATTCTTCAGTCTGTAAAGAACAATCAAACCTTGTTATGTTAAGTTTTGCCAACAAATATGATGAGATATAATGAAAGAGGGAAGAATATAGTAATATAATATTGAATAGAAGGTATTGTAAGACCTGTAGAAATGTCTATATTGACAAATTATTATCACAAGATTCTTTGAGAAACAAAGTCAAAAAAATTTGATAATTAATGACTGAATAGAAACCTCAGAAGAGCCAAGCAGAATGAAGTACATTAGAAAGAATGACTGAAACTACTGATAAATGAGCTTAAATAAAGACTATATTTAAGTAATATGTAAATAAAAACAACTGTAAATAAATAAAAAAAGGACCTCTTTTTAAACATTTTTAATGTTATTATTCAGTCCTTAGCAATTGACAATTTCAAAGAATCAACAAAATAGAGCATGCTAGCAAAACATTTGGTATATCACTGTAAAAAATTTCAACAAATGTAATAAAAGGTGTAAGAACAAAAAGATTGAACATGCAAATAAAAAAGGTATTTTTGTCAGAAGTCAGAAGCTACCTTTCGTTTGGAAGAAGAAAGATGGTGGATCCTTTCAGTATCCGAGGACTGAGCACAAAAAATATAAAGCAATAAGCAAGAAATCAGACGACAGGTCAAAGAAAGGGTCTCCTACATTGTAATTGGCAGTTACAATTTGATGTATTCACAAGTCATATGCAATAGAAGTCATTACCAATGGTCACCATGTATAGACAATTGCAAATGATTAGCAAAAGCTCATTTTGTGATCCAGTTAAAAAATCCAAAGGTTTTATCTCCACCTATCTTAGGATTGAACTCTGGACCTTAGTTAGCAAACTAGTGTCTAAGTCATTTTGTGACTTGATACCAATAAATCAGATTTGAACATTTGAACAGAGAAAACAAGCTCATTGAACAAGAGTGATGAATATAATTCAATTCAGTTAAATTTTCAATAAACAGTGTTAAAATAACAATCAAGTGCTATCAAGACAATTGTAATTCAAGGAAAGATAACTGTGTTAGGACCTACCTCTGATGTTCTACCACTATAAGATGTAAAGGATCGTTCAGAACAAACACTACTAACATCACTAGCACCATCATCAGAATCATAATTATACGCCTTTCTACCTGGTGCTCTCTACAAATACAATATCAAAATTGTAAGGATGAACATTATTATCAAAATTTGATTCTTGTTTATAGACCCGAGCTCGTGGAAAAGATGAAAGTCAAGCTTAGGACAGCACTCAAAAGAACTTTCATGGCATTAACTAGTTCTGGGGCTATGTATCAGAGATGTCAACTTCTCCTGCAAAACCTTCCAAAATTAAAGTTGAAACTTGGGTACTAGAAATAATAAAGGTTTTTTTCTCATTTCGAAGCTCAGCTAGCAACAACTCTTAATCTGTCTACAGAATCTGAAGGAAGCAATAAATGGTCTAAAGATAGAGCTATAAACTCACCAAAGCATCAGCTATAGAATCTTCTAATTCTGAACCATGTCTTAATAAACGATGACTCATTAGAGTACCTTTACCTCCAGATCCTACTTTACTACCACTTAGTCTACGCTCACGACCTGAAGATAAAAACTTATATTGTCAGGATTTTCACACTGGGCAATAACCAAAATCCTGAGGAAACATCTGTAGGCAATCTTTGAATCCCATAGAATTGAAAATAAATATGGCCTGTTATGATAAAATGCCAATTCAGAAAAAATCTTGAGGAAAAAATATTTAAAAATATCAAATAAAATTATTACATAGAACCATTTTAAAATTCAGATTCAATGACTGTCAACACATTATCATTTTAAATATTTCACATGGTTTCAGCTGTCATATATGTCATTATTAAATTTTATTTGGTGTATTGATATAACTTAATTACATGTATAATATTAACATGTTACTAACCGTAAGTGCTTCTGTTGGGACTGGTTTCTCTACTAGCTCCTTGACTTCTGGGTAGAATTTTTCTTGGTCTCTTTGGAGTAGCTAGTTGATCTGTACGGCTAGTTGGACCAGTTTGGCCACTTGAGGTATGTGTCATGTAGCTTAATCGAGAAGAGGGTGAACTTGATCGACTTCCAGCTGAAATATGAAATCACATTTTAAAATCTCCTTTTGGTGGTGAGTGAATCCTGGAAATTATTTTGTGTTCCTTAAACTAAGCAATCTTCCCAGAAAATAGTCCATAGGCTGACAATATCATTCATATAAGACAAGACACATCAAAACTGTTCCAAAATCATGGACGTGGTTGTTCTTATCCTGTCCACCTGGAGAATTGTTTCATCTGGTTAGTTAGTAAAAACACAACAAACAGTTAGCTAGTAACACTGTTAAAACAGGTTATAGAAGTAAAGTCCACACAAAACAATAGTTATACCTATATCCTATACATAGGATGTTTAGATTAAAACACACTCTGCTATCTACTGTAAGTTGTATATCGATATATAGGTACAATTCTATATCTTTTGTGTTAATAAACAACAACTAGGTGCAATATAGATATAGATTGAGAAATAAAGGAAATATTGTAGAACTTGTTGAAAACTTGGATGACATTTCTTGGAATAAGAGATACTAACGATAAATAGAACTATTACAGGGGAACACTATATAACAACTTTAATCAGTTTAATCCTTTTCCCTCTTCTGATAATTTTCTCTTTGTAAGATGACTGATGTATGCCAAAACCAAATCAAGCATAACAAGCTAACCAAAATGAATTTTAACCAAATTTATGACAATGAAATCGGCATGCAAACTTTGAAAGCAAATCATGCATATTCATTAATTTTAGTCAAATAGTTGTGTTTATTATAATTGTTCCTGAAATAAAAGAGCTGAAGTTTCCTACAGAGAAATCCCCCCTGACTACTCCATGCTACTCGATTCAAAACGACACACTACAGCCTAAAATCCATGCGGAGAAAATAAGGGGAGGTTACTCACGCTGTGATTGTGACATTCCCATACGGGTACGATTTCTGCTACGATTTGGGGATGGGGCTAAAAGCGATTTCACAGATTTACTACCAGTTGAGCTACTCTTCTGTCGGGCTGTAAAATAAAGCGAGTTAAAATCCTGCTATTGGTAATGGGAGTTACTTCCCTTGAGATATTTCCCTTTGATCTATATTGGTCAATAGGATTGAACACTAGTAGTTAAATTGATTTTATTCTGATTCTATAAATACAATATTGGAAGACCAAAACCCCTAAAATTTAAATACTACTACTTAATTATGCGCATGAATTAAATACCCCAAAATAATCAAAGTTATATATCATCTAGCACTAATAATGTCAGTAAGATTATATGAAATATAGTGTAAAAAATAAAAAATTAAATATGAATTTATAACATTGTGAACTACCCAAATGTAGCAAGATGTATGCATACTAGTGTCAAATAGATTTAGAGTTTTCATTCTTAGAAGAGAAATTTCATTCCAGTTTTAGAGCCAAAGAGAGAAAATCCAATTAAAAAAGATATTGATTGTTCATTTACACCTCGCAGAAAAATTGTGAATGAATGTTTGATGAATTTTTCATCTTAAAAAAATATTTCTAACATTGTTAATTTCTAAAGCAAATGAAATGTAAGCCACAATACTAAAAATTTTAAACTTAAAGAAAAAACAAATTAGCCATATTTGATAATACTATATACTATAACTACAACAATGAGATCTTAGAAGGGTAAAAAAAAAAACTTGATACTTTACGCAATTTTGAGATCAGTAAGTTGAGGCAAAAGCACGCTTTGTTTTATAGGTGTTTAAATATGGGAGAGGTAGATTATATGTTTATATGTTTTTTAGCATGAGGTACCTCATCCATGTTACTTCTATATATATATATATATTTTTATATTGGTGATAAGCTTTTCTTAAATCAACAATTTAATTTGTATTTACAACCTATTTTCATAATATTTATATATTCATGCTAAATTTTCTTAAATGCAATATATATTTTTTTATTGAAATTTTGATCAATTTTTGTATATCCATGCATTAATTAAATTTTGATAATATATTGATATTGATATCGCGATACACCATGGTATATGAGATTATAAATGACTGAGTATCTTACGTAATGAGTTATAAGTTGAGCCAGGCGTTAATCGTGAGGCTGATGAATATGTTGTTCGTGGTCTCGGTGATATTCCATTAGTCGATGCGAGATCGACGGCACTACTAGAACGCATGATTCCTCGAGATGTATTGTCACGTGTCATGGGCTTACTGACAGGACGATATGTTTCTGCAAAGTGAAGAGTTGAAGATGGGTTTTGGTGCATTGAGGTTAGAGTTCAAAATTCAAATGGACAAAACTTAATTTAGTTCTGAGAAGAGTTTGTGTGACTGTAAGCTCAGTAATAAGAGTCAAGTTGTAAAAAAAAAAATTCAATATTATTTTATCGAATAACTGGTAGAAAACCTTAACCACTCACAAAAAAAAATCTTTATTATTGAATTAGAAACCTAAAATTGATTAATCCAGCACAGATATTCAAAATATCAACATTAAATTTTGTCCAAATGAAAGTAATATTATTCCTTCAGATAGGCTTACAATGTATCAAGTTTTCAAACTGAAAAGAAGAAAATTCTCTAGCATGCCACGGAAGGACAATACTGCGAAAATAAAAATATAAGCCTTAAAAATAACAGAATATATTGACAAATATTGACCAAGCAAAATTTGACATTTAGAACAGTCTGAGACAATGAAAACTTGAAACAAAAAGATTATTTACTTTTTTGAAAAAAATAACAGGCTCTTGCAAATGTCAAAACAATCACCACTTCAACTTTCAGGGTGTATTTTGTTGTTTTCTGTACACATCATGCAAGAGCTTATTATTTTTCAAATGAGAGGTTAAAGTATACAGGTTAGATATGAAGCATGATTAAGCTAATTGAGAGCTTAAAAGCTTGTTTCCTCCTCAATTTTGGATTTTAAATTATCATAATGGTTGCTCTTCAGTAAAGTGTACCAGCTTATTGTAGCAAACTCAACAACATTGCCAAACTCTTTCGTCTTAAAAATGTGGGCAGAAACAAGCTTGTCGCTACAGTTAGATTAAATACATATACAGTTTCTATTTATAGATATAAGTCATGTGACTTATCATGTGACTAGAATACCTTGGTAACCACCTTGGTAACCATGAGTTAACTCCAGTTCCTCTAAGTCTGACAGAACGAAAAGAAAACGTGTCAAAACAAAGTATTGATGGGGAACTGTTTCGAGAATCAATGGTATTTAATTGTTAATAAAACAAAAAAAACATGTGATTAACAAATTAGGATGAAAAAATGTGACATTTTAAATTCGTGAATCAATTAACAAAGTTAACGAAAATATGTTAGCGAAACAAAATTCTGGAAAAAATATGTTGAAAGCATGAATTATAACAATAACAGCATTGAATATGGACCCTAAATCCCTAAAATTAATGGCACTTGAACATTGTAATATAACAATATAACAAACAAACAAATAATTAAAACATACCTCCACCAGCATCACTTTTACTAGAACTAATACGAGCTGAACGTCGAGCTCCAGAATTTCTCCTGAAATTTACAAGAGGAAGCTCGAATTATCTTTTAGTTTTACAAAATCAAAATAGAATAAAATCATTCAATGTAAATTGACGTCAGACATAGAATGATTACGTTACATTTTGAATATCAGTATATTGCACGAACTCTTAACTATATATACATAAAGACTGAAGATAACATAGCGTTAAACTCTGAGTAACAACATATTGTTACAGGTTCTGTTTTAATATATCTACATATAGAATCAATAAAGGTTAGAATCTAATCTTTTACAATTTCACATAAAAATGAAGCTCAAATCTAAGCAGAATGTACAGTTTTAAGCTTTAATCACAAAATGCTAATAACATAAAGCACATTCAACATTTACAGCAGACTTACGTTAATGTATTAGAATCCAAACTTCTATCTTGACTAGCAGAACGAGCTCGATTACGCCCTAATTTATTATTATCATTACTATTTATAGAATTACTACTTGATGATCCGCTTATCTCCCCTTGTAACATCTTCTGTTTTGAAGGATCCAGGCTGTTTAACAAGGCATCTGCTTGGTCTTTGAAATGGTCTGCAAATCCCCAATAAGCCCTGGAAGAAACACATGTTCATAATAAGGAAAGATTCTTTAATCATTTTTTCAACCTGGACATAAGGGCTAATGAAGACAAGCAACATCCTTCAGTGTGCAACTAGGGAAACTTTGCTAGTACGGTGGCTTTAACCTACTTTTTTATATTTCAAGGGACATTGACGTACTTAGAAGCATTCCTTAAGTATCCCAACTTGACAATTTTTCGATGTCAGTTCTGACCTAGGACATCTACAAAGTGACTTACTTTCTGGCGAAGGTTCTTGCTTCTGAATCAGCATCACTAATACCTCGTTTAATAGCATCCTGTAATAAGGCTATATGACGTTCTAGGATG